AAAGTTAAGCAAAACGTGGACCAGTTTATACGTTTCGCTGGAGATTCCATCCAGCATCATCAGGTATGTATATTTGGACTGTAATTCCAAAATATCCATCATGGTATTATCACAGATTAATAATGTATACTGGACAATGCAGGGACTTGGTTTGTGAGACCGTGAATGATCACATCATGTAGCCGGCCCGTCCTCTCTCCTGTTGTGATCACAACAAGATAACAGACCGGCCAAAAATAAATCATTCAGAGACTGATGTTAAGGTGCGTTGTGTTCTTCTCTCCTGTATCCCACGGCTCGTTGAGATGACTGGACTTCATGAAGTGGGAGCGCGAGTGGTTTGGTTTGCTTTATTTTGGCATAAGTAAAACCCATTGGGCAATCAATGCCCATTTTTGATGGAAATCTGATTACACAACATAAACCAGGTTACAGCATCAAACATGACAACTATCCAAAAATACATGTGTTTTGGTTCTTTTGGTGAAGCCACGTAGATAGGTTAAAAATATAATAAAATAAACAAGAAACTACGACGTTTCGATAGCAACACAAACGATTGACTGAATGCTGATGTACTGGCTCTGGTGAGACACTGCTTCATCAACACATACTTAACTTGGAATAGAACATTCTACAAACAAGTTGAAGGCACCTCAAGCGATCGTCATCAGGTGCAAAAAAGGCGTGGGGGGGGGGAAGCCACCCAAGGCAAGCTGTTTTTAAAGGTTCAAAATAGGCGTAGCCCAAGCGTCCTGGTAAACCAACGGCAATGGTTATGTAAATAGGGGAGACGTATGAGCCGTGGAGAAATTAACAACTTGTGGTACACCCAATGCAGGGGCGATACAGCAGGAACTGGAATTGCTTGTCCTATCTTTAGTAAAATAAAAATAACATCGGAAGGTGACAAGATGGAAACATCACAGCTAGTTATGACTTAAACTGGTTGATGACGTCCTTCCAATGATTGCTGAGTTTGTACCCATCTTCTCGGTTGAAATTGTTTGTGTCTGTATATATGGATGGCTTCATGAACGAATCTTTGGTGACAGCCAGTGGGCTTGCAAAGTGCCTTCGTCTAAAAGAAATACATTTTGTGTGAGCCAACCGCATTAAAACAATGATCAGCCAGGGCTGACGTGTTGGTCCTCCCGTGTTTCAAATCTGCCTTATGCTCACGAACACGGTCCAAGACATGTCGCTTAGTTTCCCCAATGTAACTATCGCCGCAGACACAGCTTAGTTTGTAGAAGCCGGGGTATTGCATGTCAGGGATCTTATCCTTTACAGATCGGATCAGATCACGAATTTTATGTACTGTGTTAAATAGAACCTGAATTTTGCGTTTGCTCATGATTTTGGAAATCTTTTTGGTGACCCCTGCTATGTACGGCACGGTGATGGTTTTGATTGGGTCCTCAGATGGCTCCTTCCTAATGGTTGGGGTGATAGCTTTACGGATTGTGTAGTCTGAATATCCGTTCGTCTTGAGAGCTTGGTGCATGTGTAGTGAGCGCAAAGACGAGGGAGAGCCGGTACTTGAGGCAACAGTTTATTTAACAAATAACTCAATGTAAGGTCCCTACTATAAAGGGCAACGGCCCCTTACACCTGCTACCTGGGGAGGTATGGCCTCCGGGCTATTGTGCCTCCTAACACTGGGGCCCACTCTACACTCAGCCCTCCGGCTAGGGGCCCTAGGGGACACTATCCTGACTCGACCCAGCCAAGGTCCTTGGGTCCTGGCCACTGGTCCACTCAGTCCCGGCCCTTACAAGGACGTCGGGTCTGGGGGTACCCAGGGTCCGACCACTGTCCCACCTCAGTCCTGGCCCTTAGAAGGACAGCGGAACTGGGGTCCCAGGGTCTTATTCTAAACCCAGTCTTCTGTCTTCGGCTTGAGGACGACTGCCGAACCCGTTCAGAGGTCCGGCTTTTATACACCTCCTAGGGGCTCTCCGCCCCTGGCCACGCCTCCCTTCCAGAGTGTTCCAGGGGATCCTAGAATATTCCCCCAGCCCCCTTCTTGGGGTCTGGGGAACCTCGGTGGCCCACATATCACCCCCTACTGACGTATGTCCGCTAGTGCAGGTAAGTACATAGTGTGTTCATGGCGTTACACATGTGTTTCAGTTCACTGGCTAGGTGATTATGGTCGGTGATACATCGAGCTCTATGGTATAGAGTTTTGATGAGGGAATTCGTTTGGGATGGATGGTGATGGGAGTCAGGTTTTAGGTAGACATCAGTATGGGTTGCTTTCCTGTAGACAGAGTGGCCCATTGATCCATCTGGTCTCTTTTCGATGAGAACATCCAAGAATGGTAGCTTGCCGTCCTTTTCCACCTCCATGGTGAATTTGATGGCTGGGTGTATGGAATTGATGTGGTTGAGGAATTGGTTCATAGCTGGTAGGCCATGTGGCCAGATGACAAACGTGTCATCTACGTACCTCTTTCACAAGGACAGACATAGCGTGGATGCCTGGATGGCGTCTGTCTTAAAAATGTCCATGAAAACATTGGCTGCAACCGGAGATAAGGGAGAACCCATTGGGGTGCCTTCAACTTGTTTGTAGAATGTTCCATTCCAGGTGAAGTATGTGTTGGTGAGGCAGTGTCTCACCAGGGCCAGTACATTAGCATTCAGTGGATCGCTTGTGTTGCGATCGAAACGTCGTAGTTTCTTGTTTATTTGATTATTTTTTTACCTATCTACATGACTTTACCGTGAGAACCAAAGAATATTAATTCCTGCAGTCACAAAAGCTTTAGGTCTTCATGTATACGGTCAAGTTCCAATGGTAAGGCCGTTCATCAACACGAGTGGGTCACATAACCTCAAAACTAAATTTTAAAGTACACTTCCGGGAAGAATGTGTATCTCTGCAACAGTGACCAAGAGAGTCCACATCAGCCTACACACCACAAAACACTATACTGCTCTTTCCCCTCGTCTTTGGCCAATGCAGTACAAACTAGGGCCCATAAACACTGGAGCCCACAGCTACTTTCTGGCTGTGGTCTAAAGCCACGTGTACATGTTTGGCTTAGGGTCCAATCCCTCAGTCACTATCGCATCATGTGTACCATAACTCTGTGGCGCACAAGACGCACCACTCAACATGGTAGTTTCACCCTAACGAGAAGTATGCAGCGGTAAGATGCAGTACAAAACACGTGGCTCCTCTGGACTGCAACACACTGCTTGGTGCACAATTATGTGCAATTCATCATAACTAGGCCCACAATGGTTACAGTCAGTTTTCACAGATTTAAATGTATTTTAACATTGTTACAAAAGGCTAAGTGGTATTTAATACCACATACTAAGGTTCCTTATTAGTGTGTATTACCTGCTATGACACATGGTTTAGGAATAGGGACATTGAAAAATAAAATGGGACAAAAGTTCTACGTGTTCAAAGAAGCGTAGACAAGAACAGGCTGAGTTACACTGAAAGTGAAACACATGGATCATAAAACAAAACAGACAGCATTTGGACTTTAAAAAGGTAATTAGTCTTGGACTGGATACGTCACGAGTAGGGGTCATGGCCGGTTGTCAAGACTAATCAAAGTTGCAGTTAAATGAGGGAACAAATCCAACAGAAAGATCACTGCCGCGATGGTGCAATGAGAATGAGATGGGTTCATGTGTAAAGACCGAGCGGATTGGTGCACCACAAAACTGCAAGTTGTGGAGAACTGGGTAGGTAAGCACCCACAAATGTATGCACTATGACTGCCTCTTCTATTTATGATACCAATTGTTACGTGTACTTTCATGCCCATCACTAGCTACTGGCGATATCGTAAACATGTCAGCACAACTCTACACTGTCTAAAGGTGGGTTTCCATTCTGCTCTATTGATCGCTGTGATTTCCAGAAGAAATCCAAGACTGGAGCAGGCGTTGTGAACTTGTCATTGGCCTACAATACGGTCTGGATTAGGGGCTTGATGTTGAAGCTTGCAAGGACCATTACCTGCCTCAAAACAATACACTTGATATGGACGATGCTGTGCAATAGGCGAGTGCATGTCTTTATGGGCAACAAATACAGTGACCTTCTGTTGCAACACTGTGACACGACCCCACTACAACCTATCTCACAGTGAAGCTGGACCGTATGCTAACCTTCAACAACCACCTAAAAAACGTAGCTGCCTAAACCAAAACAAGGGCAAATCTGGTCCAGAAATTGGTGAGCACAAGTTGGAGAGCATCAGCACCCTCGGTGCTTCAGGCATCAACGATGACCCTTGTGTACTCTGTAGCTGAGTACTGTGCACGAGTATGGACCAGAAGTAGTCACACTCCACTTGTCAATATCCAACTGAACACTGCAATGTGGTGTATCACTGGAACCCTCAAGTCGACCCCAATACCCTGGCTGCCCGTGCTGTCACAAATCTCTCCTCCACTCATCCGCTGCAATGCTGAAACTCTCCGGGAAGTCCTGCGAATCGAGTAAAGCAGTCGCCTTCCCATTCATCAGGAACTCCATAAAGTCTGTCATCACTTGAAGTCACGCAAGCCCTTTTGGACCCATGCTCTTAACCTTCAACAATGCCTGTTCAATCCTGGATGAACCTTGGAGAGCTGAATGGAGTTCAAAAGAACTCACAAACAAACACCTTATGAAAGACCCAACAGAAGATCCCTGGATTTGATCTTCCACGAAGCTCATGGTCCACCCTAAACTGCATCCGCACAAACCATGGCAAATGCAGATCCCTGATGCACAAGTTGAAAATTAAAAACTCTCCAGTAGCGTGTGACTGTGGTCATCCGGAACAGAACATACAACGTAAAACGTCGCAATGCCCGATCCACAAATACGAAGAAGACATCACAGCGATACACTCCGCTGTCACCTGACTTGGTTGTCTGGCTTGACCACCTCAATGTGAAATTGTAGTTGTTGCTTTGCATCTGCAACAGCCATGAGGGTGATGCAGATGCGTGGTAGTGGAGCGCGCTTCTGATTTGTGGTTGTGTCCATCAACGTGGATATGAAGTGTGATTGGTGGTTGTGTTGGTGTTGGCACTGATTGGTGGTTGTGATGAGTAGAGCTAAGCGTCGATTGGTGGTTGGTCACTGATTGTAGAGCTCTCTTTTGATTGGTGGCTGTGCTGAATTATGATTGGTCGCTGTGACAGTAGCGCTCCTTTCTGATTGGCGGTTGTAGTGGTGGAGCCCGCTTCTGATTGCTCGCCGTGACAGAGGGGCTCGCTGCTGATTGGTCGCTGTGTTGCCGTGAATCAGCTGTTCCTGGACTCGCCGCCATCGCTCGACACCTCCACGACCCCGCGGCCCAAAGACGAAGATCGAAGAGTCCGCTCCTCCTCCTCCCTCCTCATTCTTCTCTACCCCCACCCCTCCCTCGTCACCACCTCCTCATCCTCGTCTCCATCCCCGCGCCACCCGCGCCGCCCTTCCTCAGCCGCGCCTCCTCACGGTAACCCGCGCCCCTGCTCGCCTGAGCTCCCAGCTCGCTCCTCTCGCCCTCTCTCCGGCGCGCGTCCAGGCGAGACCGAGGCCCCGTTTTCGACTCCGCGGCGGGGCCGTGTCGGTATCTGGCGGCGCGCCCAGCGCTTCTGCCCCCCTCCCCGTCTCCTCCTCTCTGCCCCGCGCGATCCTCGCGTCTCCCGCATACCGGAGCGGCTGTGCGAACCGCCCTGACGCCGTTGGACTGGGCCTGTTGCGCCTCGGGGATGACTCGGGGAAATGGCGCGGCGGGGGGGTGGGGCGTAAAGGTCGCGGCGGCTCCTCCGCGGCTCCTTCTCCGCGGTCCCCCCCTGCGGTCCGCGGGCCCGGGCCTTGGATTACTCGCGGCTCTTCTAATGGCAGGCTGTGGCCGGGCTCGGTCTGGCTCCACTGAGGCCCGGGCCGCCCCCGCGTCCCAAGTTCATGGGCGAAGCGAGACCCTGGGTCGCGTCTGTTTCGCTTCCCCCGCCCCCGCTTCCTCGCCCGCAGCTGCCTTGTTTGTCTCGGTATTGATTATTCCGGTGTAGGTGGTGGTGGTGATGGTGGTGGTGATGGTGATTCTGTTTTAGCTGCCCGTGTCCTCGTGCGGCCGTGACTCCAACATCACTGGCGCGACCTTTTCTTAACGCGGCCTTAAATAGCTCTCGCTCACACCCCCCCGCCATCTGTTCTGTTTGGGGAGTTTGTTTGTACGGTGAATACATGTTAATTGTTCCAATCTGTTTTGGATTTAAGCAGAAAGAAGCCCAAACGTCGTACTGCTTAAAAATGCAGTGGGCGGTACTTATTCTCCCGTGCAGGCCCGAGCCATTCCACATTTTCATGGTGGGGGATCGTCCATCCATAGGACTGCTCTTGATTCCCCATTATTTTTATCAGCTCCTGTCAGATAATTCCATGATTTAGTGATACTGCTGCGTTGGCAGTGGTGCAAAAGCATAGATAACGGGGAAAACCACTCGACACGTTCGTCACAGTGCCACTGCCGTAAAAGGAAAATAGATCATAGGCGACGCTTCGGGCGATAGCCCGAACTTGAGATATTTGAGAGATGATCGTAATAATATAGGTTTTTTTTGTGTTAGGTCGCGTAAATATAAATGTGTCGTTAAACCCACCACCACCCGACACAGCCAATTAGTAAGGTTTGTCACGTGAATACAACATGCCAATTCGTTACTAGTACAGCACACCAGTGTGTTGGAGAGCAAATCCACAATATTTACATTCTGATCGTAAGTTTACATAATTAATGTTTCTCGAGTTATAATTCATTGTCTACTGCATTCAATTAATGATTTACAACTTTTTTTTATTTTGTACCCTACGAGTCCTATCAGCTCTGCTTACCACTAACCACATATGAAACCTGAAGAAGACATTGAAGTGGGCTTGTGCAGGACACATTTCTGGAAAGGACAATGGTGAAGAAAAAGGGAATGACAGCTCAGGAACGGGACCCATTCGAAAGGTCGTCCACTGAGGCAAAATCGATTAAATCGGTGTGCAAGCGCTCGGTTGATTATACATCGCAGGAGCTGGTGGCAGTGGCTTGGGCAGGCCTTTAACTCTCAATCGATTGACCATGGCTGATGATAATGTAAATGACCCCCGAGAGATAACGCGTGTACACCCCAGGGTTTGCGTATCGTAGATAGGGAACTTTAGCTCTAAATAAAGTACGTTTAAATTGTCATGTTTTTATATGCAACTCTTGTACCAGTTTAATTTAAAAGTAAAATGTATTCTTCGGTAAATTGAGTTGTATATTTACCCGAAACTAATACATAAAACTACTGTAATTGTGATGTTTACCAGTACTAGGCAAGTGCTTCACTCATGTGACTTGCCCACACTTTATTTACAGGTTATCATGAAAGTGAGTTAGTCGGATGCAAGCATGGACATCAAGACGGCGGTGTTCAACGCAGCTCGCGACGGCAAGCTGCGCTTCCTGCAGCGCCTGCTGCGGCACAAGGCGCCGGAGGAGCTGCGCGGCCTGGTCACCGAGAAGACGGGGGGCTCCACCCCGCTGCTCATAGCTGCCCGCTACGGCCACCTGGACGTGGTCCTCTACCTCGTGGAGCACTGCAATGCCAACATTGAGCTGGGCGGCTCCGTCAACTTCGACGGCGAGACCATCGAGGGGGCGCCGCCCCTGTGGGCCGCGTCGGCCGCGGGCCACCTGGCCGTGGTGAAGTCCCTCCTGGCGCACGGCGCCTCCGTCAACAACACCACCCTGACGAATTCGACGCCGCTGCGCGCCGCCTGCTTCGACGGCCACCTGGATATTGTCAAGTACCTCATCGAGCACCAGGCCGATTTGGAAGTGGCCAATCGCCACGGTCACACCTGCCTGATGATCGCCTGCTACAAGGGCCACAAGGAGATCGCGAAGTACCTGCTGGAGAGAGGCGCCGACGTGAACCGCAAGAGTGTCAAGGGAAACACGGCTCTGCATGACTGTGCCGAATCGGGGAGCCTGGAGATCATGAAGATGCTGCTCAAGTACAGCGCGCACATGGAGAAGGATGGTTACGGGATGACGCCTCTCATGGCAGCCAGCGTGACCGGCCACACCAACATTGTGGAATATCTGATCCACAACCCGCAGACGTCACGGGAGGAACGGATCGACGCATTGGAGTTGCTGGGTGCCACATTTGTAGACAAGAAGAGGGATTTATTGACAGCCCTCAAATACTGGAAAAAAGCCATGGAAATGAGGTACTGTGACCGCACGAATATCATCCACAAACCGGATCCCAAACAGCTCGTGGCAGCCTACGATTATGCCAGAGAGGTGGCGAATGCTGACGAGTTGGATGCACTGATCGCCGACCCTGACGAGATGAGAACTCAAGCGTTGCTCATTCGAGAAAGAGTTCTCGGCCCATCTCACCCCGACACCTCGTATTACATTCGCTATCGCGGGGCCGTGTACGCCGACTCTGGGAACTTTGAACGCTGCATAAAGCTTTGGAAGTACGCGCTCGACATGCAGCAGAAGTACCTGGACCCGCTGAGCCCCATGACGGCCAGCAGCCTCCTCTCCTTTGCCGAGCTTTTCTCATTCATGCTTCAGGACCGTGCCCAGGGCCTCTTGGGAACGACGGTGGATTTTTATGATCTTGTGGGAATACTGATAAAAAGCGTGCTGGAGATAGAGCGTGGGCTCAAGCATCTCCACCACACCAGTAGCCCGTCGCCGATGGAACGAGACCACGGCCCCTTCAACAAAGCCCTATCCATCATCCTGCACCTTGTGTGCCTGCTGGAGAAGGTGCCATGCGACGCGGAGCAAGACTTCCTGAAGAAGCAGACGGTGTACAAGCTGCTGCGGCTTGACCCCCGGGGCAAGAACGGCTTCACGCCCCTGCACCTGGCCGTCGACAAGGACACGACGGCGGTAGGCCGCTACCCCGTGTGCAAGTTCCCCTCGGGCCCTGTCACGTCGTTGCTTCTTGAGTGCGGCGCCGACATCGACGCCTGTGACCTCGACGGGAACACGCCGCTCCACGTGGCGGCGCTCAACAACAACTCGGACATCATGAAGCTTCTCCTCGATAACGGAGCCCACTTTGACATGGCGAATGCGGCCCGCCGCACCTCGTACGAGCTGCTGGATGAAAAAGAAATGGCCAAAAATCTCATCCATCCTACCTGCCACGTGACCCTGCAGTGTCTGGCTGCGCAAGCCCTTATCGGACACAAAGTGACATACAAGGGGAAGATTCCCAGTATACTGGAGGCCTTTGTTCAACTACATTAATAAGGTGGCATGTGCTTACTGCTTCCGTTACCCGAGTAACAATACGTCCAAAGGTGCTGAAATGAATATAGTGTGCACATTACTTTGATACAGATTTAAATATAAAAAAAATCAGAACGTAAAATTCTATGAGACATTGATATATACGTATATACTGTAAGGATCTCTTTGGTGTAAATTGTGGATGTTAAATACAGCTAAGGCTGTGGGGAATTTAACTTTGAATGCTCTGCAACAAACGACTGCATTTGCTAAGCACACTTAACCCGTCGGTGAGGATATGCATTCCACATCCCATTAGTACTGTAACATCACCTTCAGTTTACATTTTGGTTGAGTTAAACCCCGTTGAAGTAAAATTTGCAAGAAATGAAAAGCCTGATCACCAGCCATCCGCGTGCGATTGTACGCATAATTTTACATCACCGCGTATTCCTTATGTCGTTGGGTTACACATTTGTCGGCGTTGCAGGAACTAATGAAATGTCCCCCGTGGTTTAGCCAACATTGTTATATTTTTGTACACACTTAAGATGTGTGCCTGACTATCCGTAGTTTCCACTCTTAGCTCGTCTGTTGACATGAAATGATTTGAACGGGCAGGAGGGAAGATGCATTGTGACAATAGAATGGAGTTACCGATGGGATCTCATCGAGGCCTAGATGCGTGCTCACGTGCGTATTTTTTCCACGTTAATAGCGTCGTGTTACTGCATTTGAGGTATTTTTACGTGACGCGCTATAAGGAATTACATTGACATTTTATGCACCGAGTAAAGCGCGAGTTTTACAATAATGTAATTCTCATTGTAATTGAACAAATTTATCCCAGTATCTTTTTGCCGACGAGTCCTTTTTCAATATTCTGCAGTATTTTTGTTATTGCTTTTATTAAGCTCCATTTTATGAGCAATCTCCCTGCAGGCAGCCGTATTTTTTCTGAAATGAACCATTTTGCTATGGTTAGCTAGGTCCTGATGGAAGGCTTAAGACCTCTAATGTGCACAAACATTAAACATTATATTGCTTTTTGTACCTTTCAGCTTTTGCAGTGGAGCCCACAATATCAGGCCTTTTGATGGTGCAAATACCATACTAAAGCCTACCGAAAGAAGGCAACTTGTGCAAATAATGTGCTTAACAAAGCTGCAAACAGAAAAACAACCCTGTAAATAGCATGTAAACAGTCGTCATTGTAATTACATCTGTTCTCAGGCCAAGAATGTAAGTATATTACTGTACGTAACAATGTGTTGCTATTTAGGTTCAGTCTAATAGAGCACTATGGATCCATAGGTGAAACAAAAAGAAACAACATTTCCTGAGTCTGTTCAAAATGACAATTGGCATGAACCAAACCTTGTGAATAAAACGGTGGCATGCGAGGAGGAGACGCACGCGCGGCACAGGGAACCGCGCGGCTCGGGCGCGCGTGTGAAGCAGCATGTCGTGTGAAGCGTTTAAAGTGCACTACAGCGGGGGGGGGGGGTGGGGGGTAACGGGTGTTTGGTTCCACGCTGATGTGGCCAAGTTGCAAAACATGAGAGGTTGCAATGTCTGGCCAATCTGGGTCGTGTAGACCCTTGATAGCCCCGCGGAAGCAAGATAATTAGTTGAATAAGTCTAACTCGCCATTTAAGCATCCTTTTGCATTTTTTTAAATGAAATCCCTTATTTCTATTTAACTTAGAATACTGCAAGTTAAACTATCTTTAATTTTTTTAACATGCTCATCTCTATCAATGAAACATGCGTGAGTGTTTTGTTGTTGCCTATACTACATGTGAAACAATCTGCCCAATGCTAACACCACAAGATTTCTAATGTTTAACAAATGATCTTAAGCAAGAAGTTCCCTGTAGGCTGATGGCCAGTGACTTTTACTCACCACCATAAAAGTTTGATTCCATTCATATTTGTAAAAGGCACCAACCACATTGTGTGCGAGTTTAAAACACATTAACATTATTCTTGGTTACGACTCTGCTCAGCATTGCTTTCGGCTCATGTCAGTCGGCTCCAAGTGTGGTTCTAACTACACTCAGCTGAGCCGAGCCATGGCTGAGCCACCCCACCCCCGAGCGTCTTTGGAAGCATCTGAGTGGCACCAGCCTGAGCTGAGCCGCGACTGAGCATACGGCTCTCATCATTGTCCATTGCTTCTGTTACTCAGGGATCCGAGATGCTGGGTATTGGCGGATACAGTTTACTATTCTGTTCGCTGTTCACATCTTTGCTTTCTGACCCATGTCTCCTGAATCCTAAGACTCTTAAACATAGTACCGTACTGTGCAGGCACCTTACTCGTGCGCTTAACAATGTGGATATGTGGACATTTGGAGGCTGTAAAGGTGTTCTTGATCTGATTAGGCGATCCAATTGAGTCAAGAAAGCCGGCAGTTCCGTCAGACCAAACTACTGCACTTTACACTCAGGCTGGTGACAATTTCTCATCGCGATCAGTTATCACTTTGCTGAACCTTGCTTGGCATCAATTTCTGAACCAAGACTACATACGAGCCGAATTCCCGCAGTTGGGTTTCCATGGCATTATACATTGAAAATAAATCTGCTTGGAGTTTCCTGTAAGTTTGCTCATGATTTTTCTGACCATATTAAAGAATGCATTTTATGATTCTACATTTATTGAGAGGCTACGTTGGCGCTTACATTGGGTATCTCTTGTGTCCTTACGTTTTACAATTTTGCACGATTGATAGAATACATTAATTAGATGACAAGTTTCACAGGTCGGGTTTGAATCTCCCTGTAGCAGAAGGAGCTATGCATGGTTTCACAGTTGCAGTCTTTGTCGAGGCTGATTGGCTGGTGTGAACAATCACATCAACTTCAAAAAGGCATTTTCCCCGAATTGCCCAGGCAACTTGGGCATTACTCATTCTTATACATCTTATCAAATTTAAATTGAACGATCTCATCCTTGTGATGCGCCAATTTTCTTCTCGTGATGCGTGGTCAACGCTTTAACAAAAGTACATTATCGTCATTGTTCCATCCAAATAACCAGACGACGATCTCTGCACGAGCAACCGGCGATGTGTAATAACAACTAAGCCTGTGTATGCGACCGACCAGAAGTTATTTCATCTGCATGTTCCATTCAAATAAAGAGGGCACTTTGGAATTGTGTCGGAGACTTTCCTCCAGCGTGTCCCTTGTAGGGCGGCGTTAACGACGCGTGCGTGGGTTGGTTCCGTGGGTGCGAGCGCCACCAGTGCCACCGGTCCTCCTGCATGACCACTGTTACGCCTCTTGGATACTTACGTTCAGCACCGCGTGCAGGGATTTTATGTCATCCCATCACTTTAACCTGCTGAGGAAATTTGGTGTGCCGACGAGTTCTGCCACATTTCGCCAATGTTTACGAGTTAATAAACATAACATTTTGGTTACTAAGCAGAAGAAAAAATTGCCAATTACGAAGAGCTCGGGTTACATCATGGGACCTTTGCCAGTACCAAAATATGAGAATAGGGTTTCCCCTTTTTTCTGGCAACAAAACAGGTGTTAAGATGTTAAAACACCAAGCTGAAACCCTTTACAAAGAATCATGTCTGCATTAACCACAATACTTGTGGTCAGAATACAAACAAAAATCATACTCTGATAACATTGTCTTTGAAACTGATTGGTCCACACCAGAGACAGCTTTCTTTGGAGCCTCATCTCAAAACGGTGTTAGACCAGAGGATGCCGTTTTGAGACTAGGCTCAAAAGAAAGCTGTCTCTGCTGTGGACCAATCAGTTTCAAAGACTGCATATATTAGTGTTTTATTTGCATTCTGACCACAAGTATTGTGGTTAATGCAGACATGATTCCTTGTAAAGGGGTTCAGTTTGGTGTTTTAACATCTCAACACAGCTGTTTGTTGCCAGAGAAAAGGGGAAAACTATTTTCAACTCGGGTTACATTACACGGCGTGGTTAATCAAAATAACACGAGTGATGTTTGTGACAAATTAGATTCATACCTTGACCAGACAATGTTTCACGACTTGGAAAGTGATTTGAACAATATTTTTCAGGTTTTATGGTACGTTTGAACTTTGTGCTCGGTAATATATAGAGACATGTTTGATATATCTTTTCATGGAAATACCAATGTTGCTTAATGTAGCATTTAAAAAAAACAATTTAGAAAAAACTTTTGTTTTCTGTTTCAATAAATGCTTGTTATATTTGTCGGCTGAAATCATCTATGCACTGAGAATATAATGTCAACCTGCCGCAATCACATGCTTCTTGGGTGATTCATTACACTGCATTTCCTTATTGGCAAATGAACATCACCGGCATCACAGATAAATAATTTGATAACCAAAGATTCTCGTAACATCGTCAGTTATCATTTAAGAAAAAAAATCCGAGTCCTTTCATTGCTCACGGAATTACATTTCTCGTTTAAACAAAGCTCTTGTGATGTTCCGACTGTGTTTAACATTAATAATTATATGGATGGCATTTTGAGAAAAAAAAACTACTTCTGATCTCGTTTTTGCGTGCTTTTTTTTAAAAAATCCAGTGCCGCTAAAATGGGATTGTGACAAACGATGCACCTCCAGAAAAACTCCAACCGCCAACTTGTCAGAGTGCAAAAGAAATGACCGCGTGAATGGCCAGTACGCAGTAAACACACGACGCGTGTAAGGGGAATGCTTGTGCAGACGTTCAAGATGCGGGATCATGTTTTGCCTGTTGCCGCTTGCATCTTGGCTGTCAAGCGGGCAAAGTCACATTTTGGGTTCCACGGACTGCAGAATGTGATGGTAGCCCTGCATCACGTGACGCAAACCATAATTAACTTCGTTTTGTGGAGAACATTGGTAACACAATAATAGTCAATACTCTTTCATATTTAGCCGTCTCTCCACATCACAAGTTTTAGTTTACACATCCCATTAGTCTCAAGGCTGATGAGACGCTCATTGTTGAAACGTGCCCAGTATTTACTTCCATGAAGCCAATGGGATGTGTCAACATACGACAGTCCCGTTGCATCACTTGCGAATGACTTTTTAAGCAAATTGCAAATGTGTACTACTACTGCTGCTGCAGCAGTGTGAAATGTTTTCACAGCATGTTTCTAAATTTTATTTTACCTATTCATATGGCTGATGGAGAGCGACAGCGGCTGTCATTTTATTCTCGTAGTTGAGCCGGGTAACTGCGCCAGCAGTCGTGGGAGTGGTGGACCGTCGATGACTGCCGTGATGCTGGTGCTGCTGCCCCCCCTCCCCCGCCTCTTCCTCTGCATTCTGTGACTCGTGGCTCGAGTTGCTCCGTGAACCGCCGTCGTTCTGGCCGGTCGCCGCACACGACCGATGAGTGAGCGGAAACAACAACCATAATTGTCGCGTGCACCGCGTGGCAGCTCGTGTAGCGGCAGAAGCTTCGTAACAACAAAGACACAAATTTGAGTCAAACCCTAAACATCTGTTCGGAATCGCGGCGCTACATATTCACGATTAGTAATGCGCGCTCGTTCACTTGTTACCCAATCGCTCGGAAATGTTACCCCACGTGACTCGGGTCAGCTCTTAGAAGATAAAAGCTGGGCTCCGGTTCGGTGCGCCCTGTGCGTGGGAGGTTGCCCGGGGCCCCCAGGTGTTGCAGGGTGGGGCTCTGGCGGTTTCCAGGAGATGGCGGGCGCAGTGATTTGGTTTTTATTCAGGCGCTGGGTGGGATTTTTGGGAAGTTGCGATGTCTTGGGGAGCCCTTGTGTGTGTGTGTACGTACCGTATGTTGAACTGGTTTCGCGCCGTACGTAGCCAACTGTGCTAATCTGAGGTTGCGGGGGAAGGACAACAAACTAAAACACAAGCAGTTCTCAACAAATTAGTTTTTCAATCTCGAGTTAAAAGTGCATAGCTCCAGTGGCTTCCTGATGATCTCTGTGGAGCTTTTGAGTGTCTACCCCAAGGTGCGTGTCCTTTCTGATTGCTTCCAACATGCTACATACAGAGGGAATTGTTCAAACGTTTCAACTTAGGACCTTGCTGGAAGCATCGACAAGGAGGCTTTCCTTGGCCAGCGGTCTTTTGAGTAATTTTCATTGGATTTATGACATCCACTTTATAGTGCAAAACGTTCTTTCGTAAATTCCAATCTGCTTTGCGAATTGCATTTCAGATTGAGTGGAAAGTGGTTCACTTGATGAGCTTACCTCACAAATCATCATTTGTTATGGTATTAACCGACCTTGGCCAAAAACATCAAATGTAATATCTGCCTTATACATACTACTACGTAAGAATACTAATGTTAAGGAGTAATAACGGTGCACTCTGCGTGTGTAGTTGCTCTTCTCCTTCATCGAGGCATGTGTGTGCATGCGTGTGCGTGTGGCGTTGCGGCGCACACACTCAGTCGGAGACGAGGTAGTCGCAGGAGGTGCCGTCTTTTATTAGGTTCACACCCGCAACTCCAGTCCCCGCTCTCTCGACCACGCTGCTGTATGGCCCGGCCCAGGCACGACCCTGTCCGCATTGCATCGACGGCGACAACCGAGACGAGTCCACTTCCAGAACCGGCAGCCCGGAGCTCTCGCTCTCCGCTGCTTTTATTCCCCTCGGCACGGCTTGGCTCTGCCCTATCCACGCCTCCCTTCTCGAACCCTCCGGAGAGTTCCAGGGGCCTCCCTATAAGGTCTACCCTGACCCTTGACCCAGTTCCTCCGCCCTGCCGGCACACACACACACACCGTGTATATGCTCAATGGCGTGTGCGCTGTGTCCACTGCAGTTGCTGTTGCTGTACAGCAGTCGGCACTGTGTCACTACACGTGTAAAACAAGCGCAGCACGACGACGAAAAACTGTGAACGGGAGCCACTTGTAGATATGGAGAAACCTGCTGGTGCTTTGACAAAACTGAAACCCGCACCTCCGATGAGCACGGTTGGCTACGTACTGTGCGAAAGAAGTTCAAAACACGTACGTATTAGCACGGTTGTGAGCAATCTGCTGCGTGTGCGCAGTCATCTCCTGAAACGTATTGCTCCGTGTTTGAAGCGTATTGGATATCGTGAGAAGTATTATTCACCTGCCCAGAGTTTGCCCGCATTGAGATCAACGCCGCTGAAGAAATTCACTCCCGGGTCACATTGATGGGATGTGTAAAGAAATACTTAAATTGTTTTACGTGGAGGGACAGATACGAGAAGGAGGTGAAATGTCTGCCTATTTAGTCAGCCGTCTTGTAGGTCAGCGTTATTATGGTTATATTATTTACCCAGGCGAGGCCCCATGGAGCCCCATGATTCATTTTGAAGAGGGTCCTGCCAGGTATTTGTAGTAGGGTGCACTTTTTGTGATGTGTAATCCCATCTTATAAATTTGCTAATATTTTTTTCAGTATTGGGATGTTTCGCCAAAAATAGTTACAGAATGGGTTTCAAAAAAATAATAATAGGTTTTGCCCTTTTTGACAATAAAACATGTTAAGATGTTTAAACACCAAATAGAAACCTTTTGCAATAAATGAAGCCTGCATTAACCACACGCAGTACTTGTGATCAACGTGCAAACAAACATGCTCTGATAACACTGGTCTACAGCCAAAATACTTCCGAAATAAATGTAGTCCAACCTCTAGTAATTCTGAGTCACTGAGAATGAAAATGATGCTTAAAATTGTTTATTGGCTCTAGTTTACAAGATATTCTACTCGGTCAGTATATATGACCCTTGACCTGGGAATGGCGGAGGGTGAGTTATAAAGGGAAGAGATCTCAGTTTAAACCAGAAATAACTAAAATACATCGTTGACTGGATCTATGAATACATCTATTACTGGGTTTGGACATTACTTGATTTTGAGAAAAACAATGAATGATGCAATCTGAACCTGGTATTGCATCATACTCTTATATAAGTGCACAACTTTTATCTATCTGTGATGAATGCTGCACTTTCCGTCGTTTTCATGCAGGGGGCGCTGCAAACCTACGTGCCCCCTGCATGAACGAAGGAGGTGCAGGAACAAACGTTCGATTACGTTGGAATAGATCTGCAGACAGCGATCTTCTCCCACGGCCAGCTCTGTGTCGCCTTATCTCGATCCCGCAATCCCAAACACGTGAAAGTCTGCATCGAACCGAACCCCCAGCAAGGCCATCTACTTAACGACGAG